ACTGCACCAGGCTTGGCTATATGAAATGGTGGAGCATTCCAACTCTTACTACTAATAAGAGGCATTACATATTGAAGTTTCCTGCACATGTCATCCAAGATGTTGCTATCAAGAGTGTAATCAGGTGACCTTATATGTAAGCACCATTTGCAGTATTATAGCTTGTCCCAAACCAGGTCACTGTTGTCTTTACTTCCCAGCCTGGTTTGTATGCAAATGTAAAGAAAAATATAAATAAAGGCGTGGGAAGTTAGGAAAGCAAAGAATTAGTATATTGAATACTATCATGACATGTAATAAAGTGTTAATAAAATATTTAAGATCTTAAGTTTAGCCGTCTAACAGGGATTAATTAGCAGTTTAACCAGTTGAGGACTTAAAACAAATAGCCTACTCGCTAAAAAATAATATGGAAGTAAAAAGCGCATACACCGAACAACCTGCTCCTCTTTCTCCACTACTACTCCCCCCATCCACTATTGCCAGCAAATCCCGGCTGCCAAAATGACAGCTGGACCCTGCTCTGTTATTCAGCAGCAGCTACAGCCATTGCTGTGTAATATCAGTTATCATATCATATCAGTTCCAGACCAGTTAATTACTATAGGAGTAGACAATGTTCACTAAGGAAAATAAACTTTCATCTGGCATAAACAATGAAGAATAAGTTGTGTTCATTTTGAATATTCATTATGCGAAGGGGAATGAATATAAAAAGAGAATTTTATTTTGCACATGATTGGGTGATTAAAACAGCCCTTCTCAACCAGGGTGCGGTGGTTCCTTGGGGTGCTTTATGTCTTCCCCAGGGGTGCCTCAAATTTTGTGGATAGTAGGACTCTTGATGGATTGAGTACTCTGATGTGAAGGGGAACTCTGATGTAAAAGGGGTGCTTCAGATGTGAACGGAGGTTTCTGATGTCATGGGGGACTCTTACGTGAAGGTGAGCTTCTGGTTTGAAGTGGGGACTTCAGTGTGAATACTTTTATATGGCGCCGTGACTCAAAAAAGATTGAGAAACACTGGATTAAGGTGATTACAGCTTCACCTTATTTCCTAAGCTAAATTAACAATTGCAACTCATTACAAAGTGAACAGTCTACTGGTTTAGTAAATCATTTCCACTGAATACTTGTACAAAATATAAAATAGGAAATAGCTGCTTCCATTGGACCATTTGAGACAAATAATAAGTGGGGTTGTGGGGTCCTTTAATAAGGCTTTCTCTAAGGAGGATAAATAGTGGTCTGCCCTCTAGTGGCCAACATGTTCAAAAATTATTTTATTGTTGGAAAGTCAATTAAATTAAAATTAAATTCCAGACAAATCTCCCTAAACACAAATAGCAATAAAAACGCAACAACGATTCTAACTCTACCCAAACTAAACTTACCCATTTTAACTGAAACTAGAAAACAGAAGTTTGTCTGGAGTTCTAGTTGAATTAGAAGGATGATCAATTTGTCTTTTTCTGAGATTAGAGGGTATCCAACAGTAACGTACTTTAAGGAAACTTTTGTGTTGCCCCTAGCAACCAATCATCATTCAAGTGCTATTAAAGTCCAGTTTTGAAACATGGATTCTGACTGATTGGTACAGATAAGCAGAAGTATATTCATACATCAGCTCCATAGGTAACAGAAATCCATGAATGCATCTGACGTGGGATTCATATCCTGTTAGTCTCCTCCTTCATGATTAGCGGGACTCTTTGTTTTGCTCAGTATTATTGTCATTACTATTTTTTTTTCTCTTTTTTATTTCTGTCACTTTGATTTACTTTATAATATTATTAGAAAACGGCAAAAAAAGAAAACAAAATTCAGGACGTTTTATATTAGTGTCATTGCAGGAAGCTGAATTTGAGGCATTTATAACATGAGATTGTGATATCACAGATATAAAGTTTACATCCATTACTAGTTTATTAAAGATGGACTCCAGGCAGATACAGAAGGCACAAATGAATGCAGCTCATGATATTATCATTAAATGTATTTTTAAATGCAAGCAGTGTATGCACGAGAAGCCAGTCAGGCGTGCTGCAGTGCAAGGAGCATGGTGATAGGAGGCAAAAACAGAGTGAAAGAGAGCTGAACGCATAAGCATGCTGCTTCACCTTTTACTGTGCAGTCACAAGGTGGGGAGGGGACCTGTAAGTGAATGTGAAGTTGCACCAGAGAAAGATGCTTTGCTAGACATGGGGGCAGAGATGTGTAAACCGCAGGACTGGATGGACAAAAGTACAAATTCTTTGTCAGGTAAAAATGCCCCCTTATATGTATTTCATATATGCATTCATCTGTTTTCCTGAAGTTTACCGGTAGCTTTAATGTAAATTAGGGATGCACCGATACCGATACTAGTATCGGTATTGGTGCCGATACCAAGTATTTGGGTGAGTACTCGTACTCGCCCAAATGCTCCGATACCTAGCACGAGTACTTCCTGTATTAGGAAGCCGGGCAGCGCATCATTACACGCTGAATGGTTTCCTGATTGGCCAGGAAGCGGCTCCATGCTCTCTCGTCACTTGTGATGAGAGAGCATGGAGCCGACTTCCCGGCCAATCAAAAAGCCGGGTAGCGTGCAATGACGCGCTGCCCGGCTTCCCGATTGGTCAAGAAGCTAGCAAATCCGGAAGCCGGGCGCAGTGTAATAACGCAGCGCCCGGCATTCTGATTGGCCGGGAAGCCGGCGCCATGCTCCCTCATCATCTCATGAATCATAATATTAAGAAAGTGACCTTAAAGCATTAGTTTGTATTGCTTTAGAAAAAATTTGACCTGTCCCTTTAAGAAAAAGTATCGGTAATTGGTATCTGCGAGTACTTGATCAAAAGTATCGGTACTCGTACTCGGTCTTAAAAAATTGGTATCGGTGCATCCCTAATGTAAATGCTTAGAGGTGCTTCCTACGTCATAACTGTCCATGACATTGTCTTTACACTTATACAGCAATGTGTCTTATAATCATATAATTATGGCTTCCATCTTGTATGAAGGAAATGTTCGGATTTAATTGAAGTAATATACATGTACCTTTTACAGGGGTTTTAACATGCAAGTATAAAACACAATACACATCATTTATACAAAGTGTTGACACTGTGTGCTCATTGGAAAGGCTCCATGAAAGAGTCCCAGGGATAGAATAGTAATCCTGCCCTGGAGGCAACATGCACCCCTGTGAGCCAATAAGAAATGAATCCAGAGAAGGAAAATGTTTTCATGCCATCACGTCTATAAGCTTTGGTTTATATAAAGTTAAAGTGTATGTATAGCCCATTTTTATTTTGGATAGAATTTGGAAGGGTTAGAAGTTCTGTCAGGTTTTTATTGCTGTCAGTGTAGCCACTGGGGACACAAGGTGAGGGGAAATTTTCCAATGTGTAAACCTGTTCTGGTGACAGCTGAGAGGGTAACCCCTGCCTTTTGAGAGAGAACATTTAATTTTTTTCATACTCTTAAGCAAAGAGATAAGCAAATATTGTCTAATGCAAGAGCCATGTGTATTCTTACTTGAATCTTGGTGTGTTTTTTACTAGGGATGCACAATACCGATATTAGTATCGGTATTGGTGCCCATACCGAGTATTTGGGTGAGTACTCGTACTCGCCTAAATGCTCCGATACTTGCTTCCGATACCAGAACTTCCGGTCAAAGGGAAATCTCCCTCTGGCCGGCAGTGCCGAGGGAGCATCGAGCCGCTTTCCTTTCCAAGCAGGAAGCCGGGTAGTGGGTTATGACCTGCCTCCTGGCTTTCTGATTGGCTAGGAAGCCAGCTTCATGTGTTGCTAACCAATCAGGAAGCCAGGCTGCCTAGGAACAAGTAAAGCTGGATTTCTAGCCAATCAGGAAGCCGGGAGGCAGATCATGATGTGCCGCCCAGCTGTCTGATTGGCTAGGAAGCAAGCTCACGTGTTACCAAGCAGCCTGGCTTCCTAACCAATCAGGAAGCTGGGGCGGCACATAATGACCCGCCTCCCAGCTTCCTGATTGGTCAGGAAGTCAGGCTGCCTAGGAACAAGTGAAGCTAGCTTCCTAGCCAATCAGGAAGCCAGGAGGCAGGTCATGACGTGCTGCCCGGGTTCCTGATTGGCTAGAAAGCCGGCTTCATGTGTTGCCAAGCAGCCTGGCTTCCTGACCAATCAGGAAGCCGGACTGCACCTCATGACTCGCTGCCCAGCTTCCTGATTGGTCAGGAAGACAGGCAGCCTCTGAAGCTGGTGTTCTTTCGCTAGAACGCCGGCTACACAGGCAATTAGGAAACTGGGCAATATGTCATGATCTGCCACCCAGCTTCCTGATAATTAGGGCACAAGGCACTAGTACTCGGTATTGGTGAGTACCGAAAAAAAATATCGGTACTCGTACTCGATACCGAAAAAGCCGTATCGGTGCATCCCTGTTTTTTACAGGTATATACAGTAATCCTGTAACCAAGACCAATCACTGCTGCTCTCTCCTTGTGCAGGGTGACTGGTCTTGTATCTGTCCCCTTTTAGGTCCCTCCCACAGCCCAGCTTAAGGCTATGTGCAGCACAGTGATAATGTCACTGCTACTTTTACAAGGCAATATCTTGGCTCTCAAAGTAATTTGGTGCACACAAAGTGGATTTATATCCCTTATGACTATTGAGGAATATATTTAAATGAAAGTTTGTGTGCCCAGAGTTCAGCTTCACGAAAGGCTTTGTAAGACATAAGTTAATCTACTTGATGAAGAGATCTAATTTGTCTTGAAAATGTATAATTTCACATAAAAGACCTTTATCTACGGTTTAAAATGATAAGTTGTCCTATTAGCTAAGTCTAAATGAAATAAGCTGCCTTGCCAATGACATTTTCACAGCAAGTTTTTCTAGGAATTGAATGATTTCTCAGCATTTAGGAGGCTTACAGATGAAAAATACAAATTAATCACATATGAAATGTTAACTCTGGAAGGTCTAGGCGATGTTTCAGATGTTATACTTTGTATTCTTGTCTTCAACAGACTCAGCAAGGCTACAGAAGAGGGAGCTCCTGGGCCAGGAGATGAAGAAGGAGCCTCACCATCTGACACAGCTGTCCAATGAAAGGTCAGAGGATGGCCTGGGACACTCACACAGAAACCTGGCCCTGGATTCTTACCATCACCATATGGCTCTGCAGCCGGTAAAAAAAATCATCAATTCTATGTGACATCACAATCTTGTTGTAGCTTTATCAGTGCAGTTGTACAGCTCCCAATTGTTCCTGTTATGGACACAAATCCATCTGTTCCTATAACCTCCTCACTGTCCCATTTTAGGTTTCATGTATAAATAAATGTGATATATAATGGGAATGTATTGTCATTTCAATGATTCTGAAGATATACGTACAAGTAAATAAGATCAGCTTGATGCAAACATTCTTATCAATAGAGGTGTTAAAGTTTTAAACAAATAGATTATGTGTCTATGTTTTAGCTATACTATATATGTAAAGAAAGCAGCCATATTAGTTTAATTTAGACACAGGCTTGGCTTTTGCTCCTTCACCCGCGAGGCCGGGGCCACGAGGGAGCTCCATCCATACGTGCATTGCTTACAGCTCCTTTGCATGCCATGTAGAGGTGCCTGGACCAGAGTGACGTCACATTCATGACACCTCTACTGGACACGCAAGGGAGCTGTACAAGCAAAGCACATATGGATGGAGCTCAGTCACAGCAGCCCACACTGGACCCCAGGCTGAGGATTCACTCCAGTTCTCGTAAGGTAGGGAGGCTGGGTGGATCTCAAAAAAAAGAAAAAAAAAAAGAAAACTTTTTTTGGGGTGTGTATGTGTGTGTACGATTGTCTGTGAGTGTGTGAATTTGTGTGTGTTGTGTTTTTGAGGGCCTGTTCACACTAGTACAGTGCATTAATCGAACAGTTCTGTGCGATTACCGCACTGTACCATGCAATCGCACCTACTGCGCATTCTGGTGTGGGAGGTGATTCAAATGAATGGCACTCCAACCACACCTCCCACCCACAGTTCAATTGCCCATACCGGAACGCACACTACTGCGACTTGGGTCACAACTTAATGACCAAATTCAAATGTGGGTCCTGAGGTTACACAGGTGGAGAACCACTGCTTTAAGGGATAAGTGCACTTTCAAAGTGCTCCAGGGGTCTCCAGACTAGTTGCAGGCTATCATCACTATGGGTTTATAGTTAAATGACCATTCATGTGCAGTATATTGGCTCAATTAAGAGGATGGTAGAGCCTGTCACACCACTGTAGGATGCAACCTGTGGACATGGCCATCTGTTTATCTGAGGTCTGTAGTGGACGTTACTTATAAGATTATACATATAAGGAGCCATTATATTTAAGGTATTGTTTTCCTTTAACTGTAGGTTATTCTGTTTACTTTCTTAAATGCTTTGGTGTAACATTGTGGAACTTCACTAGCAATTGGCTTTGGCTGGGTTTTCGTCAGCAATACTGTAAAGCTTATGAGAACATACTACCTTAATAGACGATAGCAATTAAATTCTGACTTTTATGGTGATAACAGAGGTACATAAATCACAGCCTGTTAACCTTTAGCAGGTGTTTACTTTCTGACTGTGGGCTGTTGGATGGGCATGTCAACCATTAGTCCCTGTGGCAATGAAATGCCTTAGCACCTGAAAGTTCAGGCATTCTGTCAAGATGGGATTTATGAAAGTCTTCCACCTTGGCCTGAGCGTGTTAAAAATATTTATCTTCCATCAGTAGAAGTAGTGATGTATGGGAGAGGGAGGGATAAGAATAGGTAGTAAACCTTTCATAAATTGCAGTAAAAAAATGTGTGATGGAAATCAGTTAGAAGGAAAAGCAGAACTGGTAACAAATTTTGAGAGACAAGTCCTAAGGGAGGAGGTGGGCTGTTCCATACTGGCCTTGCACTTCAAAGATTTGATTATGGCATAAGTGATTGAAATCCTCATCCCTATAACTGACATCACAGTGTACCATAGGATTCTGCATGTTTTGCAGTGGGAAGAGATTACCTTGCTCTAACAAGGATATTTAATGTAAAACTTGGGTGACAGAAGATACACATTTACAACTGAAACGTCTGCATGATGCCAACAGGACAGACAGTTCACTTATTTATACAAATTACTGTATGTGCATGTGGGCTTTGATATTGTGTTGACGTCCATGTAGTCCTCCAGTTAGACCTATTTAAACTTCAAATTTTGCCTAAAAAACCATAGAACATATTTCACCCTGTTTGCTGATAAACAAACATGGAGTGTTTTCTTTAGGGATGTTCAGATACCAAGTACCGTACTCGGTACAAGTACAAGTAAAAGTACAGATACTTTTCCAGCTCCAGGACTAGACTAGAGAAAAATTCAAAAGTTAGGCAGCTGTCATTTGTAAGGAGCACACGGAGCTCCTGGGATTTGTGCATCCCTGTTTTAAGGTATGATTTTTAAAAATAAATATATATTAGGGATGCACCGATACAATTTTTTTTCAAGTACAAGTACTGATACTTGTCCAAGTACTCACAGATACAAGTACTGATCCATTTTCGTTTATTGTCATGTGACAGTTTTTCTAAAACAATACCGACAAATGATTTCAGGACAGTGGTGGAGCGCCAGAGCCCAGTTGCAGCTACAACCGCTGCAACCCTAGTAGTTCTCATGAAAATGGCAAGCATCGGCACTGGTATCTGAATATCCCTAGTTTTCTTTATAGTAAGATGTATTATTCCACAAAGATATCCTAAATCTGAGATCAACAAACAACATGTTTTAACAGAGAAGGAGTCACGTACCGATCTGAAGATAAAAGAGTTGGCATCTGTTAACATACATTATAAGTGTCTGCCAGCAAATACAGAGACCTCTTTATTAAACCTATGTTCAGTATATTCAACTTTCTGAGGAAGGCATATACATACTGTTGGGCATATAGATGGTCTTGCACATGTACATATGTTTCCTTGATTATGAAAAGCCCATAAGCCTACATTCTTTAAAGGTACACTCCAATCAAAACTGAAAATAAGCTTTGAAATGCATCACGCATGTGTAGTCTACCTGCAGAATAGTTCAGGTTTCTATCCAGCCTTTACTACACCATTCTGCCTGCAATCTCTTTTGTAGTCTGGTAATCCTGAAAATCACTTGTTGGCCATGCTGGAAAATCCTCATTGCTTCCTTTCACACACAGTCTGATGTAAAAATTCCACTACTAAGACATTTCTCACAGTCATTTTATACTCACTAGTAGAATCAACTTCCACCAGCCTTAAATCTTTGTCATTTTAATTTGTAATTTCATAATAATGAGCAGATTCTGTGTACCACAGATGTACAGGTGAAAATCGAATAATTAGAATATCGTGCAAAGTTCATTTATTTCACTAATGCAACTTAAAAGGTGAAACTAATATATGAGATAGACTCATTACATGCAAAGCAAGATAATTCAAGCCGTGATTTGTCATAATTGTGATGATTATGGCTTACAGCTCATGAAAACCCAAAGAACCCCAAATCCACAACCTCAAAAAAGTAGATTATTACATGCAATCAATAAAACAAGGATTGTACATAGAACAATATCGGACCTCTGAAAAGTACAAGCATGCATATGTACTCAGTACTTGGTTTGGGCCCCTTTTGCAGCAATTACTGCCATTACTTTTGCACGATATTCTAATTATTCGAGTTTCACCTGTATATTGCTGCTAATCTGTTTCTTTTTACTCATGTACTGCATCAGATTTACCTTATAGTGACAACATGTAAGAATTCCTGTTCTCCCATTAGGCAACATTGTGCATCAGCAGGGACTTTTAACTTGGTTAGAAAGACCTTGTAGGGTGGTAGCCAGGAGTGTGAGGGCGTATGTGAGTGTCAAACACAGCAGCAAGCAGCATACAGGCTGTCTATCTGTTCAAGTTGGCTGGAGTATGCCAATCCAGGTGAACTATGTGAGCTGATAAGTGTTTTAGTTGTGAATCTTATGTGTTCCAGCAACGTTAGGTTGTGTGGATTCATCCATAGTGGTGCCAGATCTTTCCCAAACCATGGTAACTCTCAAGACTGTAATTAATTTGCTACATTGTAACATACTTACATTGCCGAAAGCTGTGTACTAAGGAACCTCATGTGTGTGTTACACAGCCATTACTATGATCTTTGTCAAGTAGAACCCTACAACAGTGAAGATGCACATGGTGAAAACTAACACTGATATAACTGATGTTATATGTACTAAGTTTGGTAGTACTGCAGATTGAATTTGCAGTTCACAGATTGCCTGGCTACCTGGGAACTTGATCATTACATTATTTACATATATAGAAATGTATTATTATACATTTTTTTACCTATTTTTTTTTATAATTATAGAATAGACCCCTATGTAACTATGTAACTATGATACCAGGAACATCGCTTCCAGCTGAAGGGCCATGTTATCCCTGGGCTGGGCAAACCACCACCTCACTGTCATCAGCACTGTGTGGCCAACTATATGGCAGACATTGCCATCCTTGGCATAATGCCTGCCCAAATAAAGATGAAGATACAGCTATACATTTCTTTAAAGACCCTTTTGGGGAAAACATAAGTACATTTGGGGATAAATATCATTTACACACAGTGGGAGACAAAACAGATTTAAATCAGATCATAACTTTCCCCGAAGTTGTTAAAAAGGTCAAGGGTGGTCTAGAGGGAGGGACCTGCATCATGTAGGTATAGTAGAGCATTGCCATATTGTTAGTACAAACCCTTGGGTGTTGCATATGGCATCCACACTCAATGTATAAAATTTGGCCCAAGCCCAAATTTATGCAGCACAGTCCAAAGGTAGTAGAAATCCTCTGTGTGTAATGAGCAATGACCCTAGTAACACCATTGGTATGCGAGATTGTTAGCTTAAGAAAGAGCCACCTGAGGTTGATGTCTGTGCCCTTGCAGGCGTGAACCCGGTTTGGTTCATGTGGATTTGTTGTTCAGGGATTCTTGGCAGGAACTTTTACTGTTACCTTAGCAGCTACATTTAGTAAGGAAATTGGATGATATACGGCACATACAGTTGGTGCACAGGGGCCTCCTGATTTAAACACATGATAAGTTATCTGGGAAGTATATATAACTTTTATGCTTCCCAGATCATTTTTT